GTTTAGGGTTTAGGGTCTGCATTACCGCAGAATAAGGAATATGCCATAATTCCCATCGTTTAGGGTCCAAAAGGTAATGCAGGATTTATATCATCAGCAGTATCCTCTTACCCTAGACCTTAACGGCTTAGGGTTTAATTAGGGCTCTAGACCGTAACACCCTATGTTACCCCTATAAGCCCTAAACCCCAAACCCCTAAACCCTAAACCCCAAAACCCCTACACCCTAAACCCCTAAACCCCTACACCCTAAACCCTACACCCTGAAACTCTAAAACCTTAAACCCTGAAACCCTAAAGCCCCAAACCCCAAACCACCCTGAAACCCTAAAGCCCAAAACCCAAAAACCATACACCCAAAACCCTGAAACCCTAAAGCCCAAAACCCAAAAACCCTACACCCAAAACCCTGAAACTCTAAAGCCCAAAACCCAAAACCTGAAACCCTCAAGCCCAAAACCCAAAACCTGAAACTCTAAAGCCCAAAACCCAAAACCTGAAACTCTAAAGCCCAAGCCCAAAGCCTGAAACCCTAAAGCCCAAAACCCAAAACCTGAAACTCTAAAGCCCAAAACCCAAAACCTGAAACTCTAAAGCCCAAAACCCAAAACCTGAAACTCTAAAGCCCAAAACCCAAAGATACCCAAAGCACCACAGGAGCTTCAGAAGTTGGATCGCCTCCTCTGGGCCATCGCTAGCGTCTGGCAGCGCCCACAGCCATCTTGGGTTTAGAGCTTACAGTAGGGTCGAGGGTTTACGGTTTAGGGTTTAGAGCTTAGGGTTTAGGGTCTAGGGTTTAGGGTTTGGGGGTTTAGGTTTGCGTTAAAACCAGGCAACCAACCTGTTTTGGGTTCCTGAAGATGATTTCTTTGCATGGTCTCTCAAAATTGGTAGGTTTCTGGTGTTCAAAAGTGGGTTTAGGGCTGATGGGTCCGGGTTCTGATTCGGATCGATAGGGTATGCCGGGTTTCGGGCGCAGCCGCGAAGGGTCTGCAGGCTAGTGTTTAGGATTTAGGGTGCTTGGGGCATATAGGGCTTGAGACTTAGATGCATAGGGTTCCTAAGCCCTAAACCGCAAACCCTAATTTGAGTTGCACAGCCTTCGCTCGTAGGTCGCCTGGGCGTGGCTTTCGTGCTTGAAGTGTCGGAATGTGTGCGCAGAGGAGGGGTGCCGAGGCATTTTTCAAGGTCTCCGAGTGGCTGGGGGTCCCTGACACAAACCATTTATGATGTCTTGTACTACTGTACTGCATGCTGTTGAAACTGCCTAGTTCGAGTTTCTGCCCACTTCCTTCGCTGAGAATCCCGTTTCGTGCGGTCTGCGCACAAAGCATGTTGGCAACATTCAAATGTTCTGTCAAATTTTGAAACGCTCGCTGTTGCACCGTCGATGACGCCGTCACCGTTGTCGTCGTTGTCGACGAGGTCGTCGTAGTGGCCGTGTCGTCGGCGACGTCATCGTTCTCGTGGTTGTCGTCGTGGCCACGGTGGTTGCTTCGTTTCAATGATGGTGGTGACTGTTTTGGACGAAGCACGACATCAAGGGCAAGCCGAAGTTGTACTTAAGAGAAAGTTCTATCGCCAAGAGGTCTTGTAGTCAGGTTTCAGAAATTTCTAGTGCACAGGGGGTGGCAGGGATTAGCAAGGAACATAATAGCCTTCAAGCCCGACGAAAAGCCTTTCCCCTTGACTCTTCGGGTTTGAGGTGGCGCAAACACAAGGCTCTCAGAGACAGCGGGCGTGCTGGAGCCACAGTACTGAAGCGGCTTCTGTGCACCAAATTGTAAAGGGACGACGGGGCAAGAATCTATTCTGAGCCGGACTTCATTTCAAACGGGTTGATCCAGGTGTCGGGCTTACTAAATGGCCTCGACAGATGTCTTGCCGTCGAATGCGGTCGCATTGCGGACGTGGGGTAAGGTTGTGCTTAGCAGTCCTTCTGCTTCAGTGTCAGATACCGCTACCGGAAAACCATATTTTACTTATTTGAGCCCCTATAGTAGCCGTCAGGGCTGGATGATGAACGTAACAAGGCAAGCTTCTGTCTGTTGGTAGTGATTGTTCGTGCAGTCTTTGTCTACGGGTTTCTTTGGCTTGCGAGTTCCGTCCGCAGCAACAACTCCGCTTCCTTTTGTCTTCCGATCCTGAAACCCTGCATCGCAGACGATTCCTGGGCCTGTTCCAACATTTTGAGTTGAGCCTTCATCAGTTGCTGCTGCTCCTCTCCAAACGCGTCCTGGTGTCGCTAATCCAGATGCCTTTGCTCCTGCTACAGCCAAGGTTGCTGCTTCTTTTCTTATTGGCAAGCGGCCGGGGTTCTTGTGCCAGACCCACAGCATCGCCCAGGCCGTTGCCATCAAGCAGCAGCCCAGGGCGAACCATCTGGGTGCCGAGTTTACTGGGTCGGGGCCCCAGTCAGGGGTTCAGGATCAGATGCGGTTGGGTGAGTTGGATCCTGGACGAGTTTGGGGGTGTAGGCAGCGATGTTCAGCCCTGGTGTCTATGTGCAGTTTCTCTGGTGCAGTGCTGTGGTAAAATTTGTGGGGGATGCTGCGAGGGTGAGGAGCTGCTTGCAGAACTCTCTTGTCTCTGCAGTTTGCTCAGGAAGAACATCAGTCCTTCCCGAACCCGGTCTGTGTTGACCTAAGAATTCTCTTGCCATGGCCCCCAAGGGGAAGACGCATGGAGTTTACGGAGCTCCGGGAGTGGGGGAGGGGTCTAGTGCACCCTTCACGACGGTGATGCTTCGCCGCCTTCCTCCTGAGATGACCACCGATACATTGCTGGCGATGCTAAACATCGTCACACCTGGCAGGTTTGACTTCGTCTATGTTCCTTATGATCGGCACAAGCTCGTCAACATCTCCTTGGCCTTCATTAACTTCACGGACAGTGGAGCGGCCAAGGAGGCGCAGGATTTCTTCCACATGCTCAACGACGGGCATGCGGCCTGGAACATCGTTGCATGTGCTGGCAACGTTCAAGGGTTCTCCTTCAACGCAGCTTACTACGTGGCTCGCTTCGGGTTTCGGGCGATCCACGACGCACATGCACCTGTCTTGTTCAAGAACGGTATGCAGCTCACAGACCGTAGGGAGATCAGTAAGCTGTACGCCTCTTTGCCATCAAACACTCTCCAGGGAGCCAAGGACTTTGTGAAGGCAGAGCGTGGAGGCTCCAGCCAAAGGGGTACTGCCCGACGTGCTCATGACCTCATCTGGCAGCCCACGGTGGAGGAATCAAGGCTACCTGCCTCACCAGACTATGGCTGGTCGGACTCTGACAAGCAACTGCGGGAGAACCTCAAGGCTATGATGCCACCCGGACTCTCGCCAGCCAGCTCCGTGTTCTCAAGTCCACCATCCACTCGGTCTACAAGCTCCGAGCCTTATGGCTTGAAGGTCAGTGAATCTGAGCCTCCCGTTAGTATCCTTTTGCCCGTTTTTTTTTTGGTGTTTCCCTCATTGGTATTAATAAAAGGGTCTCCTTCTTATCACCCTAAGCCCTAAATCCTGAACCGTGGCTATTACCTTTACCCTAAACCCTAAACCCTAAACCCTAAACCCTAAACCCTAAACCCTAAACCCTAAACAAGGGGCTACTGGAGAAACCTAGGAGTCCCTCTGCTCACAAATCCTTGATGAGCCGAGCGGCGTCTGGATCTTCAGCCTCTGACTCACGCAAGCTAGTCTAAGGGGCTGAGTAGGTAACCTTTAGGGTTTAGGGTTTAGGGGTTTTAACCTTTTGGGGCTTATATAATCCCTACTATAATTCAAAAGGAACACCCTTCTTTGGGCTAATTAGGTACTCAGCCCCGAAGTAGTGGTGCTTAACGGACAGTGGAGCATTCCCTCTTTAAGCACCCACTATGAAAAGCAGTCCGAAAGTCAAGATGCCACCGACAATTGATTTGAAATCCGGCTACAACCCCGATAATTAGTCTCCCGTTTGTGTGTAAACTATTAGGGGCCTAAGAGCTACCAATACTATTTTGGGCCTTGTGGGGTTCCATTTTATCTAAAAACAGTACAGTACAATATACCCTATACCCTATTCTGATTGTTAAGGCCCCTGCATTATCCTCAAGCCCTTGCCTGTGAACCCAGCTAGTGCCGGATGCCCTCCTGCACGGGAAGGCCGTTTCGACCTCGTCTCTGAATTAATGATGCTGCGCCCATGATACAGGGGCCGAAGTCGTTTGCAAAAGGTTTCTGAAAGGATATACGGTATACTTATCCGGGCTTGTATGAGAGTTGCTGGAGGGCTCTTATATCATGGTGCATGGGTGGCCGACGCCCAGTCAACAGGGCTATTTCAGCGCCGTCTCTCGCTTCTGCAACCTCGTACAGTACTGAAATAAATCATCGCGAGATGCGCCCATGATACAGGGGCCGACTGCGTTTGCACAATGTTGTGTGGGGGTTCACGGTATATTCATCTGGGCTTAGTTGGCTCCCATATCGTGGTGCATGGGTGGATAACGCCCACTCGCCGGGGCCGTTTCAACGCCGTCTCTCGCTTCTGCAACCTCGTACTGAAATAAATCCCTGCGAGATGTGCCCATGATACAGGGGCCGACGTCGCTTGCACAATGTTGTGTGGGAGTTTCGGTATACTCGTCTAGGCTTGTATGAGGTGGTTCACGAATCGAAATTACAATAGTTACTAGAGGGCTCCTATATCGTGGTGCATGGGCAGCCATTGCCCACTCGCCACGGCCGTTCAGCTCTCTCGCTTCTTCAACCTCGTACTGAAATCACTTTGAGAGGCGCCCGTGAACAGGGGCGGCAGTCGCTTGCAACAGCTTTGTCTGGGTTATACAGTATACTTATCTAGGCTTGCTTGTATGAGGTGGCTTAAGGAACAGCACCGCAATAGTTGCTTGAGGCTCTTTTTACCAGTCTATCTGATTGCATGGTGCGTGGGTGGCCAATGCCCACTCATCGATCGGGGCCGTTGCAGCGCCGTCTCTCGCTTCTGCAACCTCGTACATGATACAGAGGCGGCAGTCGCCTGCAACAGTTTTGTCTGGGGGTATACAGTATACTCATGTATGTTGTGGCTTAAGGGACAGCGCTGCAATAGTTGCTCGAGGCTCCTTTGCCAGTCTATCTGATTGCATGGGCGCAGGTGGCCAATGTCCACTCATGAGCCCAAAGTTTTCAAAACACAGCACAGACGTTCACAGCTGCATCATTTTCTGGAATTTGCACAGTGGCAAAGCAAGGTGAGCGAAAGACAATGCAAGCTTCTGATTTGGCCCGCCTTGTGCATGTTTGCTCGTGTTAAGGAAAAGGTTTAGATTAGGCTTTGCGGCTTTAAGGGGTTTGTTGGGACAGATATGAGGTAGTCAACTCCGTTTGTGTCGCAAGCATAGACCACATGCTTCTCCATCAGCCCGCATTTGGCCTATTATACTATGCCAATGCCTTGCAACATGAGCAAATATCTTCATAATACCCGATGTGGTGAATGCTAAACTGCTAAACTGTGACATATTGCTGCACATGTCAGAAAAAAAACACATTGTATGTATAATATATACACACAAACAAACATACCTTTACCTACACAGAAGTAAACAAATACATATGTAAAAGATAAGCATACACACACATATATATATACACACATACTGTGCATACATGCATACATACATGCATACATAAATACATGCTGTGAGCTGACATGTGTGCATGTGCTCCGCTGCACTGCTGCTGCAGGATGTTTCTTTCTTGCATGTTTGTATATAATTCGAATGCCAATGATTTTGGCTCAAGTGCAGGGTAGTACCGGTGTCGTAGCCTGTTGGTTGCTGCCCTGCAATCTTGCCGGACACGGGGACGCGTAGGGACTGGAAAGGAGTTAAAACTCGCGAAGCCGAAAGCAATTTACTTTGCAAGACCGGGTTCTTGGCTTCACAATTGGGGGTTTTTGCTGGAAAGATTCCTCCCCAGTTCCCTCTGCGCCCGTAGGTGGCGCGAGCTTGCGCTCGTCCACTGCGGTCCGGTGCTGGCCGCGTGAACCTCGTGTTCATGCTTGCGGCCTGTACTGTAGGCGAGGCGTGTTGCCGCCCTTCCGGCCAGTCCCACGATGTCACGGCAAGTTGCAGGTGAACCCGAACGGGCAACGCTTCCGGACACTATCGAGCGGGTAGTCGGTGCCATTTCCCGAGCGCATGGGGTATACGGCGTGGTTAATGGAAGAGGGTGACAGGGAGCCGCCCCACGAAGAAACAAGACGGTGTGTCGACTTCCCCTGAGGAGGAGGCGGCTTTGTTGCAGCAGGTCATGGGCTGCCGACAAGGACATCGATGAAGGAGAGGAGGATGATGAAGATGAGGAGTCTCTCCAAGGAGGCCCTCTTCCCCAGGTGTGGGTGGATGAAGGTGAGGAGGAGCTGGAGTTTATTCCTGAGGGCATGTCTGCCTCACATCCTGCGGACGCTGTGGTAGGTTCCAGCCCAGCACAGCAGATGGGCTGCACCGGCCGGATCGGCAACCCGCCCGGCGCCGGGAGGCTTAAGGCGCACGGAGTCCAAGTTATTCCGGAAGAGCTGGATGCTCTGAGAGCAGAGGCCGGCCTGGCGGAGGAGTTCTCGCAAGTAGCTGCAAAATCCGCCTCAAGTGGTCCGCCGCCTGTGGACCAGGCCGGCCGGTCGCGGGTGAGACGCAGGAGGAGATTCAGGCGATAGAGGTCTGGAGCTCGCCGTCAGACGTCCCGGCCATTTGGGCGGGACAGTCCCCCACATCTGCGGGGTTTGTGCGGCCAGGTGCAAAGTTCAAGGTATCAGCAGCGACTGGGCCCCCGTCCGGCCGCTGCCCCGGAGGCCGGGGGCCCATGGATGAAGGCCGCGGTGACTCGCCATTGTGGGCGAGACTTGCCACATTGGAGATGGAGATCGAGGCCCTCAAACGCGGGTCCGACAGTGGGTGGAGGATCGCTTGATGGCTCGCAGAACTTGGGTGTGGACCTCGCCGCAGCGCTTGAGAAGCAAACATGAATGCATGTGCTGTACTGGCGCTGCAGGATGTTTTTTTCTCGCATGTTTGTATATAATTCGAATGCCAATGATTTTGGTTCAAGTGCAGGGTAGTACCGGTGTCGTAGCCTGTTGGTTGCTGCCCTGCGGTCTTGACGGACGCGGGCACGTGTAGGGACTGGCGGGGAGCTAAAACTCGCGAAGCCGAAAACAGATGAGAGTCCGTGTTTGTTCTGCTTTGCAAGACCGGGTTCTTGGCTTCACACTGCATGCATGCATACATGCTTACATACATACGTTCATATACACATACACATACACTTCCACATACAAATACACATATACACATTCACATTCACACTCATACACATATGCATATGCATACGTATATACATAAGCAGTAAGCATAGACAAAGTCATATATGTATGATTTTGTATGTTTATATGCGCTACTCTTATTAACACTACTCTGTTCTCTCCTGACATGCATAGAAGCACGGCTGAAACCGCAACTTTTCGCGCCAGCAGAGCTCTGCCGGCTTCGTTTGCGAGCAGGTTGGAGTTGCTGTCCTACTTGTCCAGCCAAGAGGCAGGTGTGGGGCTGTAGGGTTCAGGCTTTAGGCTCTAGGGTTTTGGGTTTGGGGGTCGCTACGGCTTCTAGCCTTCGGGGGGTGTCAGAATCAGGGAGTAGAGGCAAAGGGTTGATGCATGTTTGATTCAATTCGGGAAAAGTGCCTCGAACTGGCCCTGCCTGGGGGTACCGGGTTCTGGACTTGTGGAGGCAGTTTTGATACTGTTAGCACATCCCGAGCTCTGTGAAGATAGACCTCGCGGCATCTCGCAGCAGAACGGGGGGATCGTGGGTTTCAGCATGTTTTCCGAGGGAGGCTGACAGGAAATACGTTGATGCCCGGGGCTTGAGGGCCATTAGTGTTAAGGGCTTAGGGCGTTGGGTTCAGGTTTCAGGGTTTGGGGCAAAAATTTTTAGAGCCTTCAGGGCAGTGTGTCTTGATTTGTTCTTCTCGGCTATTGCGGAGACAGCACCCCAGGTCTTGTACCAGCTGCTGTATTCGTCGGTGCTTCTTCACCGGCGGGTATGGGGAGGCCCTGCTATCCCTAAACCTTAAACCCTAAAACCCTAGACCCTAGAGTGTAGTCGTGGCAGCTTGGAGTGTCAGACGCGAGTCCTAGATTTTTGTTTAGGGTCCAGGCCCCCGTATCTTGATTGAAGGCGCCACTGGAATCGAATGAACTGAGTGGTCTTCTTGAGCTGGGCTAGTCTTGAAGTTTTGGTTCGACGGGCCATCGGTAGGATTGGTGAGGCCACCTGCAGCTTGCTAGGTGTTTTGCGAAGTCAGGCAAAGGTTTTCTAGCGAGTTTCAGCTACAACCCTAAACCCTAGACATCCAAACCTTAAGCCGATTTAGAAGGAATCGTAAAGTATACCTTTGCCCGGCAACGAACAATGCAGTGTGTTTTGCGGTTCTTGGTGTTTAATGACCTAAGTTTAAGCCCTAAACACTAATGCTTAAACCTGAGAACCCAAACCCTAGACCCTGATCCGTGAATAAATCTTATGCCGATCTCATAGGTTGTTTTTGCCAAGCTGCAGTGCTCGAGGTAGCTCGAATGAGTCCTTTTTTCGCTAACTGCCAACCAGCATCAGTGCTAGTGTCGCGCTTATGGTATCGGCTGCTAATTTTAATTTTATGGTGTTTAGTACGATGATGATGCCGATCATGATGGTGATGAAGATGATGAGCGATATGGTGGTGATAAGATGATGATGGTGATCTCGGGTACATCATCACCATCGTCACCATCATCATCACCACCATCATCACCATCATCATCATCATCATCAGTATCATCATCAGCATCATCATCGGCATCGTCATCATCATCATCATCATCATGCCTATGATGGTGGTGATTGCCATGGAGGTGATGGTGGCTATGCTGATACACCGCTAAGTCCGGCTCTTCGGGGTGTTCAGTAGGACAAGAGTCTTCGCTGTCGCATTTGGTTTATGATTCCTTAGCTGCTCGAACCAGCAAATGCGGTGTCTCCCGTATGTCTTGGACGCTTCCTCACTGCATCGTGCAGGCTACAGCAGCGTGCCATTGGGGCCTATGGACCTGGAGGCCCTGTCCTTTTGCATCGACCTCGAGGGCAACGCCAGCTTCTACATATAGATATATATACATACATA